GTCCTTCTGTTCTCCGGCCACTCGGCGGCCCTCCCGTCACCCCTCCCTCTGCTCCCAGAGACACCGAAGTCCTCTTTAAAGAAATCAAAAGGGAAATCTAAAGAGAAGGAGGTTGCCTTCAATGATGGTGATGTGGAAGGTGAAGATACTCAGCGTGCTGGTCCCTCTGCTCCCCGGTTGTCCCTCGTCCACCCTCGTATCTCCCTGGACGTCCGTATTCCTGAGGACGAAAAGGAATTCGCCACTTATCGTTCTCTCGTCCTCGGTCTCACTACTCAGCTTGAGGCCGCCCGAAATGATACATCTCTCCTGCTTGACTTCTCTTCTCGTCAAGCTAACGCTTTAAACAATCTTACTGCGGCGTTAGTAGATGTAGTCAACACTGGGGCTCTGGACGACGAAGCAAGGACAAGGTTAGCGGACGTCTCTCGCCGAAGCCTTACTGAGATAGCCGATGTTCGCCGAAGACTGTTCGACACCCCCTTCCTAGTCACTCCTATGGCGTATGAGCCACCACCGTCCCTTGACTGGTTAGGTCGCCGCAGTAGTTCTCGTGTCCCAGCTTCCGCCCAGACTGCTCTCGACCTCCTCAGTCTTCCCTTCGAGTGTCTACGGACCATACGTTCTCTGTGGAGGACTCCGAGCATGCAAGCTGCTCGAGATGTCCAGGACTTTGGTGACTTCTTTGGGGCTATGAATCGGGCATGGAATGCTTCTCTCTCTACTGCGTTCCCGTCTGAGACTCTCGATCTACCTTCGGTCATCGGTAGCCTCCACACCAATCCCGCGGGACCGAGTAGATCGAAGGAGAAAGGAAAAGGAAAAGGTAAGGGTAAGAGTAAGGACAAGTGAGCGGTACGTAGCTGTAATCCTATGTTGTATGCAGTACGTTCTATCTCCTAGCCCTTCGCAGTCGCCCTTCCTTCGGCTTAGTAGGGTGAAGTTCGTGGAACTTCGCCAATATGTCATCAGCTCCATCGACGTTCTCCACTGGTTCCCATGATACTGAATCGTCTGTTCCTTCGTAACCTAACCACTCCACCAAGTACTCTAACTTTCCTGACCTCTTATTTACTCTAGAGTCCACAATATCCTTTACCTCCCAAGACTCTCCCACATTGTCTACTTCTACTGGCCCAGGTGGCTCAGCTTGCTGACCAGGAAATATTGGAGGGTGATAAGGACGGAGCAAGGAGACATGGAATACATCATGGATACCTGCCATCGTTCCTGGTAATTCCAATTTACAAGCATGAGAACCTACCTGCCGTACTACCTTGTACGGCCCACTTTGCTTAACATCTAACTTCTTCATTGGTCTCTTCGTCTTAATATTCTCTAACGACAGCATCACTAGGTCTCCTTCCGCGAAGTTCGGCGTAGTCCGGTGTTTCCTATTGTATCCTTCGGCGTACTTCTCATTAGCTTTCTCAATTCCTTCGATACAATCTTTGTGTATTTCAGTCAAGTCTTTTACCACCACCGTAGCAGCGGGCACTTCGACTTCACTGGCCTTAATTTCTTCAGCCCATCGAGGGTGGTACCCATAGTTCGCATAAAATGGTGTCTTATTTATCGCAGAATGATGGGTGTTGTTGTAGGCGAAGCTAGCTCGAGCAAGCAGCTTCGACCAATCGTTCTGCTGATAAGAAGTGAAGATTCGAAGGTAGAGCTCTAAGGACTGGTTGGTTCGTTCAGTCTGTCCATCAGTCTGCGGATGATA